TTGCATATAAACCAAATACATTTGTATTATCTTTAGGCAGGAAATTATCCCCGATTAGTTTGAAATGAGTTTACAGTCATTAAGTGTGTGTTACCCGTTCTGTGGTCCTCCGTCATTAACGACCCCGAGACGAGATAGCTGCCTCTTCAGGTGTAGCTTAAAACTGGCATTTATCCTCAGAAACAACATCTGCACACAAACACAGAAACACACATCTGTCTGAGACGCAAACTAACTCACAGAAAGACAGCACATTGTGACATTGCATCATTGTGTAAACAGTGAAGTGTGTGGAGTCTCACCTGCGTCTGCTCTTCAGGAAGGAGCTCAGAAATGGCTTCGTGCATCTTGGCCATCTGTTTGCAGACGGTTCTGAACACAGCCGAGGGCATCGGAGCCTTCACTTCATACTGAGGACACACACACACACACACACACACACACACACACACACACACACACACACACACACACACACACACACACACACACACACACACACACACACACACACACACACACACACACACACACACACATCACACACACACACACACACACACACACACACACACACACACACACACACACACACACACACACACACACACACACACACACACCCACACACACACACACACACACACACACACACACACACACACACACACACACACACACACACACACACACACACACACACACACACACACACACACACACACACACACACACACACACACACACACACACACACACACACACACACACAGTTAAAACTGAGGTTCCAGAGTGCAGCACAGCTACAGACCTGAAGCGCCAGATGACTACACATAAATATGTAATAATCACGTCAGAGTTTAAACATTCAAAGCTGAGCTCACCTTTGATAAAACCTTCTCAGACAGACTGTCCATGATGGCCACCAGCTTAGCAGAGACCTCCGCTATGTGATCGTTGTAGTCCTGCAGAGCAAAAAGACAACATTTGAACAAAACACCTTTTAGATCTTAGAATAAAAACACATTGATGGATTGTAGGTCAGTACAAATATGATTTACTTTGAATTGAGTACTTCCTTTTCTACTCCTCTACATTCCCTCCTTCCTGTCCCGTGAACCAATCATATCTCTCTGTGAGCGTTACCTTGGTGATGTGGTCGAAGTGTCTGAGCACGCTGTACTGTTTGGGCTGCAGTTTGGTCTCAAAGTGAGCTCTGATGATGGGAATGTACTGAACCACCAGCTGCAGGCAGCGGGAGGCTAACGCTACACACACACACACACAACAAACACACACACAGAAAAAATTAGACAGCAGAATCAACACTTCGCAATAATTAGCGCCTCCATTTCCAGTATTGAAAGCTCCTCTACAGGCGGTGATCTGAGTGTGTGTGTGCGTGTGCGTGTGCGTGTGTGTGTGTGCGTGTGCGTGTGCGTGTGCGTGTGTGTACCGAGGTTTTTGGTGGTGATGGTCTTCAGGCCGACGACCTGCAGAGCTCCGGCTCCCAGAACCAGCTGGCAGCTCCGAGAGTTGAAGTGCTGCAGAAACCACAGAAGAAGAACTACTTTTAAAACACAATGCTAAGCTAACAGTGTGCAGCTGCTACAGGGCAGGACACATCACTTTTAGAAATAAAAATACAACTTAAGATAAGATGGATACAATTAATATATCAATTCATTAAAATGATATACAGTAGTTTAACTTTTAAATAAGGAATGAATGAAATCTTGAGGAGGCTCTGACCTTGAGGAGGTCGGACAGACGGGTCAGCATGTCGGTGGCGATGGATGGGATGTCGTTGACACACTGACAGTATTCCAGAAAGATCCGGATCAGCAGCAGCACCGTCCTGTTGCAACAGTTCACATCGTATGTCAATATCTCAGACTTTAATTCCAGGTAGTCGTTTAAGACGAGGATTGTACGATTAGTTTTAAGTTATGAAACATGAACGCTGCCGTGATCACGAACCCGACGACGGCGTATTTCTGCCCGTTGACGAACAGAAACTCTGTGGGCTTCCTGTCCTCTGTACCTGCACACAGAACACAATGATACTGACATTTATAAAATACTGGTTGATCTGAGAAGTGACATCTCTTAGCTGATCAAGAATGATAGATTAGGTTATTGATAACAGCTCGTGTTTCCCGTCTAACGTCACTGTCAAAGTCAGAGGTTAATTATTCTACACTGAAGACATTTTATTAAATATGTATCTCAGACATCTTCTGGGTCTTTTCATTCCGAGTCTATTTGAGAGCAAGCACCCAATCAAGTGTCTACTATTCCCTGGTCACATGTAGCACCCGTTTCCTTCTTGTACAGCAATAAGCAGATCCAGAGGGGGTGCAGGGAGCTGAAGTTTGGGGGTTTCGTGTACCTGGGATTTTGCGCTCCGGTAGAGTTATTCTTCCGTCAGCGATGGAGTTCACCAAATCCTGGAACTCAGCGGGAACCTCCGCCTGCTTCCAGCGCTCGTTATCCAGCAGGAGGCTGCAAAACAACAACAGACAACAGACATCAAACACCAGGGCCCTCTCATTTCACTCATTTCCCCTCCTCGACTCCTCGACTCCTCCGGTAGTGACCCGGAAATGAATTTCAGCGCGCCATGTTGAAGGACATCTAATTTCTCTAAATGCACACCGAGGACCGAGCATCGAGGAGGCTCTCTGGAGGAGCTATAACCGAGGATACACTGATGGGTCCTCCGGATGTATTTCTGGGAACAGAGATGTTTCAAAGAGTCGTGACGCACGGCCGGACTTATCTCAGCCAATGACAGCTCTGCATGCATCCCCTGGATATTATTTTAGAAACTGCTTTCATCGAGACGCGATGTTTCCAGAGAGAACAGCTGTGAGGTCCGTGCAGAAAGCAGAGCAGTGTGTATAATATATATCACTCAGTATAACAGGCCTACTCTCTTTATTTGCTGTAGTTTAGATATCTACAAACAAAGAGTCAATATTTTTCTAAGACCATTGCTTCACATAATAAAATACACAACGGCTGTAGGTGTGTGTGGTACGGTGTGTAGGTGTGTGTGGTACAGTGTGTAGGTGTGTGTGTGTGTGTGGTACAGTGTGTAGGTGTGTGTGTGGTACAGTGTGTAGGTGTGTGTGTGGTACAGTGTGTAGGTGTGTGTGTGGTACAGTGTGTAGGTGTGTGTGTGGTACAGTGTGTAGGTGTGTGTGTGGTACAGTGTGTGTGTGGTACAGTGTGTGTGTGGTACAGTGTGTAGGTGTGTGTGTGGTACAGTGTGTGTGTGGTACAGTGTGTGTGTGGTACAGTGTGTAGGTGTGTGTGGTACAGTGTGTAGGTGTGTGTGTGTGTGGTACAGTGTGTAGGTGCAGCAGAGAGACAGGTCTCAGTTGGTTTGGTGTCCTCTGCTTATTTTTAATACTTGTAAATAAAACTTTTGGCCCGTAATTTATTTCCCTCATTGTAGCGACCAGAGAAGGGGGGGGGGGGGGGTGTATGTGTGTGTCCCCGCATCTGTAGCCTGTTATTGTCTCATTATACCGCACTGTGAATGAATCAAAGTAAATATATAAGTCCTCATGAACACATCTGTCCATCAGACAGAGGGCTGCTGTGCCTCCTGTCATCATTAATGGACGTCTCTTTAAATGGACCACACACACACACACACACACACACACACACACACACACACACACACACACACACACACACACACACACACACACACACACACACACACACACACACACACACAACACACACACACCCACACACACACACACACACACACACACACACACACACACACACACACACACACACACACACACACACACACACACACACACCACACACACACACACACACACACACCTTGATTGGCATTTTAACTGAAAGCTTATAATGTTGAGTATTTTTTCACGTAAATGTGTTATTTAAAAAATGTAAAGCACCTTTCAAAGTGCTTTACATTAAGAAACAGTGCAGCAGAAACCTGCTATAAAATGGCATTATAAAACACTCATCGTACCGTAGTTACTTTGTGAGTTCTCTGACACACCGGGGTAGGGCTGGGTGATTTTTTCGGTTTTAACGATTAATATGCATTTTTACTTTCCTACGGTTTGTGAAATGGCTGAACCGAAAAATCGCGATTTAAAAACATTTCTAGACTCCGCAGATTTGTTTTGCTTTAAGGGACTCCGTAGTAGCTTACTCTCTCACTTTCCAGAACGCGCACAAAACTCAGACACATTGCCTGTGACTACCCGATCTGCAGCTCTGTGTACACATATATCACTTAAATTATTGAATACATCCTTTGTACTGAAGTATTCAAGAGTAAATAAAGTTTAATATAAATGATTTGCTGTGGCCAATTGTTTTCATTGCATTTACAGACCCGTGTAAATCTCTGATACCACCCAATGAATGCATTGACTTGCTTGTAGAACCACGCTACACAAAACCGATAGCAACACCTATACAAACTATTTTTAAAAAAAGGGGGCTACTGTATCGACCTATATAAAGTATATACATTTTATTTTTTTTCAAAATACCAAAAAGATCCTGCATTTTAGCCATGCCTCATTTCGCTCCATTTGCTCTTTCTAGCGCTGTTTTTGCAGGGGGCTGATTCTGTGAGCTGCAGCTGACCACCCCCCCTGCAGGAGAGGGGAGCGTGCTTTGAGATCAGCTGCTGGGCGGTCTGTAGAGGGGGAGGAAAAGAGATCTCCGTCCTCTGTGTTTTATTCTTATAGAAGTAAGAAGAGAAGTAATGGGGCAGAAACCCTCCTTTTTACGCAGCGGTCCAGACAGACATCAAACGGCTACACATATTCAGTCGGCAGTTACTTTGGCATTAGGGCAGGGATATCTAGATACTTCCCAAGGTCTGACATCATGAATTGTGCTACTTTTAAAGCAAGCAACGATGTTTTCAAATCTGTAATCAAAAAGCTCCTCAAAAACACTATCGAAGCAGTTCCTGCCGTTGCTACGTTAGTTCAAACAGTAACAACGGACTACTTTTCTTAGCGGATGCATGTCAATTTAAATCAATACATACAACTATTTTTTAAATCAATAAAATCATTTTCTAAATCCATAAAAGCATTTCAATTAATATTGGGAGTCATGTCGTTACTTTGTTGAGAATGTGGCCATGTGTAATAAGCGGGATAATGTGCACATTGCATAATGTGCCTTCATGCCGATCTAGATCCCTCCGCAAAAAAACAAAAAACACGGCTCGTTCGCAGGCGAGAGCCGGCTCCCATCGTTCACTTAAAAGAGCCGGCTCGTTCGCGACCCACACATCACTACTGACAGTGTCGTCTACCTCCCAGTCAGAGCAGGACAAAATTGAAGCTGAGCTGTCATCCTATTTGTTGTCGTCTGAGACAGACCCTGATACAGACCCACTGCAGTGGTGGAAGCTACATGAAGCTAACTTCCCAAGACTGAGTAATCTGGCCAAGAAATATCTCTCCATTCCTGCCACCCTTCGGAGAGGGTTTTCAGTACGGGGGGTAACATTGTAACATGCCAAAGAGCATGCCTCAAGCCAGAGGCAGTAGACAGGCTTGTCTTCCTCGCGAAAAACCTGTAGACAACTTCCTAGAAAGTTAAAGGGATGTTATTTTGTTTGAGGGTATTTTTTCATTATTCATTTCATTATCATTATTTATTATTTGTTGTATTTCATTTTACAAGTTTTTTCAGGGATGGCCTAAAAGAGATTTTTTTTTCAGTTTGATTTAAAAAAAATCCTTGCACATTAATGACAGCCAAGTGCCGTGGTGCTGTTTTTATTTTATTATTTTTATTCTTGAACAACTGATTTGTTCACATAGGCCTAGACTACTTGGTAATCTCATTTATTTGTATTGTGTTAATAAAGAAAATATGTATTTAAATGTTGCCTTGGTCTGGTTTGTTTAGAAAAAAACTGAAAAAACCGAGGTTTAAATCGAAAATTGTCCATTAGTTATAAAAAAAAAAAAATCGCGATTTTATTTTTAGGCCAAATCGCCCAGCCCTACACCGGGGACACATTTTTGTATACAAGACATCAAAAAGTGCATTTTGGATAATAGGTGACCTTTATAAAAACTTGATAACTGTTTTCTTTGTCAGTAGTTTATGAAAGCGGAGGTTGTAAATCATACTCTCTCCTGTGTGCTGTAATCTTCTCGTCTGTGTTTCTGCTAACCTGAGTTTGGTCTTGCGCTCCTCGTGGAAGCGGTGCACGAAGCGGTTAGCCTGGCTCTGCAGCGCCCCCCGCAGCGAGGCGCTTCTCCGCCCGCTCAGATCCTCCGTGTCCCGCACGAACCCCTCCACCGTCTGAGAGAGCAGCACGAAGTCCGCCGAGCTGAGGCGCTCCAGAGAGCCGTCCTGTGGAGACAGAGGGAAACTTCACGGACAGTGTTTCCAGAGAGGGTAAAAGTACACATCCTTTACTCAAGTAGAAGTAGATACTCGTGTTTAAAAATACTCTGGTGAAAGTAGAAGTACTGACTAAACTTCTTTACTCAAGTCAAAGTAAAGAGGCTTTCAAATGTACTTCAGTAAAAAGTACCCATAGCTAGCAGCTGCTTTAAAGAGTAGCTGACCTCCCTTTATATGAATAGAACAATAATGTCATTGTTAGCTAATGAATGTTTCCATGCTGAACAACGGCAACATGACAACGTTTCCATTGGTCCCTCTTCTTTAGAGAAGACCAGGAAATGATGGATACACGGATCGTGTTCAATCAATAGGCACGCAATGACTCTAAAGAATAATGATCACGCACCAAACACACATTCAGACTAAAGGAACCAGCTGTTTGGAAAATGAGAGAAGTAGAAAGTACAGGTATTTGGGTTCAACATGTAAGAAGTAGAAAGTACAGGTATTTGGGTTCAACATGTAAGAAGTAGAAAGTACAGGTATTTGTGTTCAACATGTAAGAAGTAGAAAGTACAGGTATTTGGGTTCAACATGTAAGAAGTAGAAAGTACAGGTATTTGTGTTCAACATGTAAGAAGTAGAAAGTACAGGTATTTGAGTTCAACATGTAAGAAGCCAAAGTAAAAAGTAAGTAGTGGAGTAAAGTACTGATACCAGAAAAATGCACTTAAGTACAGTAACGAAGTATTTGTCCTCCACTACTTCCCACCTCTGGTATGTCCTTATTGTATTATTAACTCCTCCTCAGGTTGTGTACCTTGGCCCTGGCGGTGAGCACTTTGACGCAGCGGTCGTGGCTCACGTCGGAGGCCGTGTGCAGAAGCTCCTGCAGCGTGTTCATCACTCTGTTCAGCTCCAGGTCAGACGGCATCATGTTCTCACCGGACCTGAACACACACACACACACACTTACAGTCTGAGACTTTTACACACACCTGAAAATCCCCCCTGTCATTATAATCGCCACAATCAAACCTTAAATAAGGGTAGACAGCTTAACAGATTTGCACTTGTTGTTCTAGGACACAAAATATGTCAGTAAATACGACTGAGACTACTCAACGCCATCACACCCAACATTAGCCGCCTTCAGCTTAACGACATGAAGTAATGCGACCGCGCTGTAGTTCCTTTATAGCTTAGCGTTAACTTTTTACTTTTGGACATTTAATTTATGATTCGTAAATCATAGAAGTGGAGATAATCCTGTGCATTTGCCAAACTTTTTTCTACAATATTTCAAAATAAAATGGAAAAATCTCTTATTTCTTTGTTTAGGGAACCTGGGAAATGCTAACTTGCGGCCAGCCTACAAACAAACATCATAGCTGCACCACTGTATAAGTACTTAGCATCTCTTAATCAAACTGGAAACCTAAAAGGCTCTTAAATGTCAAAACAGAAGAAAATTGAGAAATCTTGAGTATCTTACATGTAGCTCTGCTCGCGGCTGACGGAGGTCTCTGTGTATCCAGAGGCGGAGTCCCTCTGCTGGAGCCTCGCCCCCCCCACCGAGCTCTGGTCCTGGAGCCTCGCCCCCCCCACCGAGCTCTGGTCCTGGAGCCTCGCCCCCCCCACCGAGCTCTGGTCCTGGAGCCTCGCCCCCCCCCACCGAGCTCTGGTCCTGGACCCCCTGCTGGGCCTCGTTCAGAGCGTCGCTGATGAACAGCCCCTCGTGGGTGAGGTAGGCCAGCTCCGCCCCCCCCCCCCCTGAAGAAGCTCCGGGCCGGGGGGGGCCTCCTGAACTAAAGCGGCTTCCTCCAGGAGGCGGAGCTTCTGCGTCGACGCCAGAACCTCCAGAACCACGTTTTTAATCACGGTCTGAGTGGCCTGAAACACACAGCAGGGGAATAAAAGACAGTCAGACAGGTTTTAAAGGTCTCCTATTATACTATTTGTAGGCATATAAAATAGGTCTCAGATATATAAAAAAACATCTCTATGAAGTGTTTTACTCAAGATACCCAACAGATCACCCATACTAGCCCTGACTCATCCCCCTCTATTTCAGCCCTGTTACGGCCCGTCTACACTACAGGCGTCGAAAAAGCTTGAAGCTGGGCGTGTCTGAGGCTTGGCGATTTTTTGCGAGCAACGCGACCAACAACCAATCACATGAATCTCCCGTCCCCGACATACAAAGCAATAGCAATGTTAAAACGAAGTAAACTGGATATAAAATCCCCAAACAGGCGAAAACCTACCAGTTTCACCCACTGTCTCTGCCACCTCCCTCCATGCCTCGCTCCTCTGGTTTGTATCCCGGTAGATGAACAGAGACTGATCATACAGCACCGGGTGATTCACTGCCGCTACAATGAATTTTCCCTCCATTTTTTTGAATATGAGGAAATGACCTGCGTAGTCTCTCCCACCATACACACGGTTTGATTGGCTCGCTTGTACTGGCAGATTTGCATAAACGGGATTTCATTGGCTGACGCCAGCTTCGAGCAAGCATCGAGCCTCAAAAGTTGAACATTGTTCAACTTTTGACGCCGATAGACGCTCGCGATGCTTGCAACGCCTTGCCATGCTACCCACAATGCAGTTCGGCGAAGTTTGAAAATATCCTACGTCACCCCATTCAAATGAATGGGCGAAGCGTTGAAAGCATTTTTTGACGCCTGTAGTGTAGACGGGCCGTTAGAGAAGTGCTGATTCTAAGTCCGTAGCTTTAAAAAAAAAATTCATGCAGGAGAATTCTACCCAGATACTCAGCTTGTTGACACATACTCTCTCCAGCACAGGTTAGCTCTGAGTGTTAGCGATGCTCGCTAATGTAAACAAAGACCATATTACGTCCAAAACACGTTGCGCATTGTTTTTGATAGCGACGTTTCTGATTGGGCTGTGGGTGAGCCCACAGCCCAATCAGAAACGTAATATGGTCTTTTTGAGATATTACATCGGACGCAAATCTGGATCAGCTGCGTTGCTCCCACGTTTTTGGAGATTTGGGTTTTATTTTCTGACGCTGCGTGAGTTCCCTGACACACCGGGGACACGTATTCATGTATTGAAGACATCAACAAGTCTAATGTTGCATGATGGGAGAGCTTTAAAGTCTTTTTCGGAATCACAGCACATTGTGACTCTGCAGCTGAGATCAGACTCACCTTGATCCGCTGCAGGAAGAGGAGGAAACTCTCAAAGACGTTTTTCAGCAGCTCGAACCACTGAGGGAACGTCATCAGACGGGTCTGGTCCGCAACCCTTCAGACACACACATTTCACATAAAGTTAATAAAGATAATACACCTGTATGTATATTAACTAAGCACATGAACACTCTTTATATATACATCCCTTTACTTGAGAATTCCCCTTATATCCAACTTTATACTCCCCTGGCTTCCCTGAAAGCTTTAGACACTTTTCAGATGACACTTTTCATCCTCTTCCTGTCCAGTGTAAACCATGTATCTCCAGATGTGTTGATTTTAAAAGTTTGTGATGAACTGCAAGATGAAGTTTGCCTTTATGTGTTGAGAAAAATCTCAAAAAAAGGATCCAATTTTGCTAACATGGACCAGCACCAGAGGCGTTCCAATACACACAGGCGTTGGAGCTGTTCTTCATGAAATCCCAGAAGGATGAAGTGCTCTGACAAACAGTGCCATCTTTGCGCAAAATGATTATACAGGAATGAAAAGTCAATAAATAAACATGTTGTTAAAACTTTTTTTTTTTTTTTTTCGCGCACCCCCCCCCCCCCCGCCCGCTGCCACCACCACCCGCCCAAGTATATTTCAGATCTGTGGGAAACACTGTTACTAAATAAACTATCTAAAGTAAAAACTATTTAAAGGTAGGGTAGGTAAGACTGGAGAAACCAGCTCGAGTGCGCTAGAATTTGAAAATACAGTCGGAAAGAATCTGCCCCTTCCTTTAGACTTCCTTACAGAGCCCCTCCTCCAACACACACGAACGCGCACATGACCAATGAGGGCACGAGATCAGTTTGTGCCCCGATGGAAGGCTGACAGGCAGGTAGGCCATCCAGTTACTTTAGCCGGGCCGGCTCAGATGATTGGTCGTGCTTTTTACAGCGCCACGTAGGGCTGCTCAATTAATCTTATTTTAATCGCAATTACGATTATGTCTTGCAACGATTACGAAAACAACGTAAATCGAAATATAACGATTATTCTTTTTTTACTGTTGAATTATACTTAAAGTTCAGGGTAATCAACTTTTAAAAACATACTGTTCAAAAAAAAATTCTCCAATAAATTGATGTTTTCAAAGTTAATGGATAATCGTTTTTAATAATCGTGATATCAATTATTGACCCAAATAATCAAGATTATGATTTTTGCCATAATCGAGCAGCCCTAGTTTCTAGCAAAAAATCTTTAAGAGATGACATTAGCAGCCCTACCAGCATTTGCCATGGTGGCCAAAAAACATTTTTACTTGGTCTTAAATTGTAGTTCAACATTTATTTCCTGTTACTTCTGGACCATGATGGAAGGCCAGCCTTTAATGTTTAACTCAGTGCAATATGTTGAATATGTTTTACCAAAATGTTGGCTATATGCAGGGGTGCACATAACTTTTTTGCCCTGGTTCTCAAAGGAGCACCTGGAGATGTTGCTTGGTGCTCATCCTTAAAATGAAATAAACCGTAACTTTTGAGGGGGTCTTGACTTTATTTGCCAGACACACGGCACTGAACACACATGCAGAGGTGAACACAGAACACACATGCAGAGGTGAACACAAGACAACATTAGCACGAGCAGTAATCCTACAAGCTGTCATCACTACCCTCCTCACTGTTCTCCTCACTGTCTTCCTCTCTGTCAGACATGGTAGCTGATGATGTAGGCCTACTTCTTTCTCTCTGGTTGAGTCTGCGATTAGCTGCTTGCATCCACAAGTCAACAGCTGGGTTTGGGTCGAAAGTCTCTGTTGTCATCTTAGACAAGTGGATGTAATCAAATAAGTATGTGAACATAACCAATAACCTATCATAGCCAATAACAAATGAATGTAACTTATTGTATTTGTGTTGTTCATTCAAATCTTATTTTACCTTAACATTTATTTATTTATGCATTTTTTTTTTATCTCTCCAGTTTTAAAGGATATTTTTGGTTACTGTCCTATAGTATACATTGGAATGATTTCAAACCTGTTTATCCCAATAATTATAAAGGAGTGCCTTGGAAATATGTGTTTACATAAATTGTGACCAAACCGTTTGAACTTAGACTAAAGTGAACTATCTAAACACTCAGAGTCCTTTACCTCACTGAGCTGTAGTTATCAGCCTCTCAGTCTGACTGGAGAGGACTCTCCCTCCACATCATTGTAGAAACATCTTCTTCTTATCTCCGTTAGAGCAGCTAGCACCAGATTATAATAACAACAGCGCTGGTACCACCCTCCCTCTCTCCCTCGCATTTTGGCTGTGAGCTGCGGGCGCCAGATAAGCCAACATCGCCCATTTTCATCACTTACAGCGCCCATCGTACAGGGCAAATGAAACGTGTAACCGGGGTGAAAAGGGTGTTACATTTACTTAATTGTGAATATTGTTACATCAAGGTCGAAAATTAGGATGAGCCCCAACGGTCAAAATGTTGTTTTCCCTCCCAGAACTGCCAGCGCAGCACCTCCCCAGATCTGGCGCCCTAGGCGAACATCTAGCCAGTGCTACGGGCCGGCCCCGAGTTCATATCATGGTTCATATGCAACTCGCAAATATCTTTCTCTCTCTCTCTCTTCTCTCTATTTACTCTCTCTCTCTCTCTCCCTCTCTCAATGTTGGTACGCAAATGCGCTTTGTTTCAAATGACCCAGTGCTCTTTTTTTGGCGGAGGTGCGCATACGCACCTGCGCACCAGTTATGTGCAGCCCTGGCTATATGTTAAGGAATGTTCAGGTTGTGACAGTGCACTGCAACATGTTTGTTGATCTTGTTTATTGGTATTTATTATTTTGATATTATTTATTTAAAATGTAGATATGAATGTATAATTTATGTTATATTGGTGTTTCAGTTGATTACCCTGAACGTATAATTAAACAGTTAAAAAGTTCAAATTATTATTTGTATATTAAAGTCCAATAAATGGATGTTTTCAAAGTCAATGAATAATCGCATTTAATAATCGCAATTACAATTATTGACCCAAATAATCAAGATTATGATTTTTGCCATAATCGAGCAGCCCTAGCGCCACGGCTTCCACAGAGGACACTTTTTTATGTATTTATTGTCAAAGCACTCAAATCAAATCAAGTTTTATTTATATCGCACATTTATAAACGATGTTTGGTCGAGCCAAAGTGCTGAACATATAATACAAATAGCCTACAGTAGAGACACTTTACAGCAAATACAACAACACAGACTGTTCAGAATATCAGTATGAGAGCACTTAAGATATTCATTGCTATCGGGATGTTAAGAGCAGTCCATGGAATATAACAAGTGTTTCTGAAGTGAATTACCTACCCCACCTTTAAGTGTAAAATGTTTAATGTCACAAATGTGAAAGTTGTCTAAAGATTAACCAATAATCATACTTAAACTCAGATTCAGTGTTTCTCAGTATTCAGGTGTGAAACATCGTTTCATCGTGTTCTGCTCATAAAACCGCTCGGTCTATTACAGTCAAACCAATTCTTCTGCATTTCAAGTTATTTAAAGTATCCAAAAGTCGATGCAAAATCTTGTCACAAAAATATATATATATATAAACTTCTATGCCGTAAAAAACCTCTCTGCTGTTACTCACTTGGTGACCACTTCAGTGTCGATGTCTTCAATTTGCAAAACATTTTCTGCCACACACTGAAAAACACAAACAGATTACGAGTTTTGAAATCACATAATGACTAAATGTGTGATTTGTAGAATATAATGTGAAGATTTTTTACAAAAATAAAAATGTGTAGTGTTAAGTGTCAGGAGGTGGTACCAGAGAGACGATGGCCTTCACCGCCATGATCATCTCCTCGCTGTAAATATCCAGGAAGTCGAGCTTTCTCTGCCGCAGCAGGCCGAACACCAGGGACTCCAGACGCTCCTGACACACACACACAAAGATAACACACACACACACAAAAAGTATTAACACATGTAATACTCAACAATACCAGTGCAGTTTACAAAGGACTCGGTGTTAATCTGGACAGGCAGCAGCGTTTCAGACGATAGGAAAAGTGATTTGAGATCAATTAGGATTCCTTCATCAAACTGAAATCAAACTGAAATCAAACATCAGGCAACAAATCAATACAAAGCCCCAAATTAATATCATCTTTAGTTCTGCATGAGCCAGCTAGAGACCACATTTAGACATGTATATAGACTGATGCATACACAATAACACAGACCCCCTCCCCTCCACTAGGGGTCTCTGTGTAATTGCGTTCGGTTTATTTGTGTTTCAGGTATTCATCAGCGGTTAATCTACATAAAAGATCAATTATTATTAATTGAATCCTGTTGAGGCTTGGATTATTTGAAAATATATATATTTTTGTATTAAACACAATCTTTTTTAATCACATTTACACCAAAACAAACGGAATCGCAAAATATATTGAAAAAATCCAAAAATGTATAATCCATTACGAATGTCCCGGTCTTCATAGTGATTATTTCTGAATACATTTGTTTAACTTCATAAATAAGAGAAGACATTTTTCTTTAAGCATGCTTTTAACAATATGATTTGACCGAGATAAATATATATTATAAATAATACATTTTAAAATATACCGCCCGGCGCAAACTCAAAGATGAGTTCCCAGCAGTCATCAAAGCAAAAATGATTTAAATTGTTTTCATGAGTTTCTCATCCTGCTTGGAGACCACATGGATTAAGTTGTTCCAGTTATCTTTCTGGGGCTCATCAATGTAGGCGACACCATAAATCATCAAACAAAATGTAATAACTCCACCCATCTGGCACTCCATGCACATTAAAACAAGCGCTCACATATCCCCACAAGATTTGTTATCGATCCGTGTTGCGACACCAGAGCTTGATTCAAGCAGCAGATTTTGATTTGATTTCTCTGTGTGTGTGTGTGTGTGTGTGTGTGTGTGTGTCACCTTCTGTGAGGCATCATTTGGTTCATAGACCTGTGATGGGCACAGCATCCGTTAAATACACACAAATCACATTAGTGTCTCTACAGTAAGAGCAAATGTCTGCAGCTGCACAAAAATAATGTTTTTGGTTTTCTTAGAGACTTGCGGTTTGCCGCTATTGATCAAGCAGCTGTAGAGAGACAGGAAGTGGGATGTCATGCGGCTAAAGGCCACACGTTCCATTTAAATAGGCTTTTTATTGCCTGTGAAAATGAAAAACTAACGAATACAAAACATGAAACCTCAGCTTTTTTTAAACAACACCCCTTTCTTTTCAAATGTCATTTACAAAACACAGTATAAAGACTTTAAAAGACCTTAATATTTCAATATTTTCTAAATTAATCTTAAACTGCCCTCAACACATTCTGTATTTAAAATCAAAACCATACGATTTATTTTGAATTGCAAATGTGATTCCTTATCAAATAGATTTCTCATGAGGCCTATTCATTTGCAACCTTTAAACATTCAACGATATTCTCTCTCTTATAGTAATTTAATGTCAGGCCTTTCTTTGTTTGAGGCGATTGTCAGCATCTCCTCGAAGAGGGTTTTGACACATAAAAAGCTGAGGACACAACAATGAATAAGTGTTTTTGATAGGGGATGCTCCGATCGATCCGCCGCCGATCGATATCGGCCGATACTCACTCTCTGCCGATCGATATCGGCCGATACTCACTCTCTGCCGATCGATATCGGCCGATACTCACTCTCTGCCGATCGATATCGGCCGATACTCACTCTCTGCCGATCGATATCGGCCGATACTCACTCTCTGCCGATCGATATCGGCCGATACTCACTCTCTGCCGATCGATATCGGCCGATACTCACTCTCTGCCGATCGATATCGGCCGATACTCACTCTCTGCCGATCGATATCGGCCGATACTCACTCTCTGCCGATCGATCGGTGCTCTCTAAAAATGCCGATCGCGAGAGCATGACGTAAAATGATGACGTAAAATACATGACACTTTTCTGTGTGCGGCAAAACAAGCTCTCCAAAATGGCTTCACCGGTCTGGCAGTATTTGAAGGTGTCCGAAAAAGACAGTAAAACAGCGGTATGCAACGTGTGTGAAGCAGAAATCCTGCAGCTCCGCCCGCTGAGACGGACCGGTGAGCGGAGCCACACACACACTGAGAGTTAGACCTAACACACTTAGCCATTTGATCTACCTCTGGAACTAAACTAGTTATACATATATTTATTCTTCACTGTCGGGTCACTCATTACTGGATCAGTGAGCTGCATGAGATACTGACCGGCTGTCAGGAGAGAGAGAGAGGGGGGAGAGAGAGAGAGATGAAGAGACGAGAGATGAGCGAGGAGCTGAGAGAGAGAGAGACGAGGAGAGGGGGGGGGGAGAGAGAGAGAGAGAGAGAGAGAGGCTTCAGCTCATTTCTCCCGTGTTATTCTCCAAAGTTAATGTAAACTTGAATAATGAACTTCATTTGAATGTAATAATTATGTTGGTTGTTGTTTGTGGAAGCTCCAGTGAATGAGCATTAACTGAGTTTCAAACATCACTTTAAATGGAAGATCCCCATAGGCCCCGCCCACTCGATCGGAACGGTATCGGCCGATACTGATTCCGGCGATCGGCCCCAAAACTGGCGATCGGAGCATCCCTAGTTTTTGAGTTTATTTAGGAGTGTTTTGATGGTACCTTGTCCAGGACGTGCGGCTCGTCCCTCAGGTAGCGGTTCAGGTCGCTGCGGGCGTACATGCTGAAGTCCTCCACCATCATCTTATCAATCAGCTTCTCCAGCTCACACAGCTGAGAGCCCAGATGTCTGAGGGACACAGAGAAGACAGACATTTAGCTTCAGTTTGTGCACAACTTCCTGTACTTAGGCTTTAAAGGTCACATGACATGGTTTGAGAGTCATAATGTGACCATGTCTAACAAACAACGGACTAGACCAGTGTTTCTCAAACTTTTTCATACCAAGGACCACTTAATTCCACAAATATCCAAAATCACATCGTTTTTCAAGAACAGATTACAAATCGCCTGAAAATGGTACAAACAGTTGGCAACATGTGTGACGAAGGTGTTGCGCTGGGCTATATCATGCAATCGAAAGTGAAACTTAAGCTCGCTCCATTGCGGAGATATTCCCGCGAGAGTGCGGAAAACTCAAATGTATTTATTTCAAATGTGAAATGTTACCAATATACTGACGGAGCACTAGGGGGCGCTCACGGACCACCAGTGGTCCGCGGACCACACTTTGAGAAGCACTGGTCTAGACAGTTTAATCTAGATGTTGTTGTTGATAAAAAAAGTGTTGAAAATTATTTTTTTAAATAATTCAGTCACTGCACTTCATTTTAATCTCATCATGTTCGGGTGCGATGATTCAACATTATGTTGTTCTCATTGTGCTCACCTGTCTTTGACTGAAATGTTGGCCAAGAAAGATTAATAACAGACTCAGGAACAGCTTGAGGTATCTTTGCTTCAATTCAAAGGTCATGTCTGAATCTTAATTTCTACATTAGACTGAAAGGAAATGCAACTTGACTCTAAACCTGAGTGACATTCACACACATGGGGCTTTTTGTAGGAAACTGAGTTGTCACTGCACTTTCAATTTGAATCTCATCATCTACTGCTGTGATGATTCAGCATTATTTTTTTTTTTCATCTGAGCTCACCTGCCTTCAACTAAGAATAGACAAAAAAAAGGTGGCCAAAAAGAGACTTTCTGTCAGCAAAAAATGTACTTCAAATAAAGGGGGAACATTTTCGTTCTAAAGCTGTTTTTTTTCTTTTTCGCCTGCATACTTTAATGTACCTATTAATCAAACAGCTCAGGAAAACTAATAACTTCTCCCACAAAGTAAAGCAGCTTGAGTGGAAGTACCTTTGCCTCAATCAAAGGTAATGTCTGACTGAACCTGAATGCAACTGAATGCACTAAAGCAGTGTTTCTCAAACTTTTTCAAACCAAGGACCACTTAACAAATAAAAAAACACTCGCGGACCACCTAACTTCACAAATATCCAAAATCACATCGTTTTTCTAGAACAGATTACAAATCGCTTGAATATGGTACAAACAAGTGACAAAATGTGTGATGAAGGTGTTGCCCTGGGCTATATCATGCAATTGAAAGTGAAACTTAAGCTCCCTCCATTGCGGAGATATTCCCGCGAGAGTGCGGAAAACTCAAATTAATTAATTAATTTCAAATGTGAAATGTTACCAATATACTCACGGACCACTAGGGGGCGCTCACGGACCACACTTTGATAAGCACTGCACTAAAGCCATGCTTCTGAGGTAACGTTAAGCTGTCTTTGGCTCTTTTCTGCTGTAACAAAGCACATGTCCCCCTCCTCACCTGAAGCTGTGGACCCCCTGCAGCTCCTGCTGAAGGACCTCCTTGGTGGTGGAGATGAGCTCCAGCGCCCCCATGAACTCAGCGGTGGAGAGCAGCAGCTGCACGGTGGGCTGCGTCTGGTGCACCGCCGCCATCAGCTTCAGTTTGTTGTGCAGCTTCACGCAGTTGTTTCGGGTCAGGTTGGTGCGCAGGGCCCTCAGAGGCCCCTGGACCGTGACCCGGTCGATGGCTGCGATGCGGCCACGCAGGACGGCCACGGCCCGCTGAGTGTCCTGCAGACGGTCCTGGAGGTCGTGCTGAGAGGACATGGCGTGGAAAAAGGCATCGGAGCGAAGAGAGATCTGCCGGGCGATGCTCACCTCCACCACGTCCAGGTAGTGGCTCAGCTGACGGGGAACACAGATAGAATCGGAGGATGAACCCCTCAGAGCACACACAGTGCATGTTGCTCTCTGCTTTTTACCCATCCTAGTACTAGACAGTTCTAGGCAGCTAAAAATGTACTTAAAATAAAGGAAATACATTTGTTCTAAAGCTGTTTTTTTTTCTTTTTCGTCTACATACTTTCAATTGTCATTAATCAAACAGCTCAGCAAAATGTGTGTAACTTCTCCCACAAAGTAAAGCAGCTTGAGTGGAAGTTTCTTTGCCTCAATTAAAGGTCACGTCTGACTGAACCTGAATGCAACTGTTACATCCACACACAAAGCACATTGGGCGTTATGTGGAGAAAAAACTCAAATTGGACAAACAATGGACTTGCTCAAGGGCAGCAGGGCAGGGCCCAGGAGGTGAACTGGGACCTCTCCAAGTAGCAGTCCTCACTCCATATTTAGGTCTGTTCGGGGACTTGAACCGGCGCCCCTACGGCTCCCAGTCCGAGCCCCTACTGACTGAGCCACTGCCGACCATAGATCAGACATTTCCTACTAAAGCCCGTGAGGTGGCGAGTGAAAGAGGGAGATCACCTTCTCCTGCAGGAGCTTGGAGGACGCCACGTCTCGGCTGCTCTTTCCCCCCGGCGCTGTTGAAGTGCGACCAGGGCAGCACGCTGTTGAAGGTGGACGGATCCTCCAGAGCAAACTCAGGCTTCATGAAGATCTGCACATGAAAAACACAACAAGGTCAAATAAAGATTCTGAGCAAAGGTTAAAGTGTCTACGCATTTGCTTTTAACATTTCTATAGTAGCAATGACTTCCTAGGCAGCTCACACACAGAAGACAATGACTGCTAAGCTGTTTTAACTAAGCACAAATGAAAGCCTAAACTAATTCTGTTCAGGTTATTTATCACTTTACTGACATTGTTAACCTGGGGTTGCACGCACATAAAATACCCATTTTCACATCTGAATACTGAGACACTGAAATGTCTAGAATAGGGAATATAACGTTTAGATAACTGAAGTCTGTGATCCAATGAAAACAGAGGAAAGTGTTACCTTCGGGACTTGTTCCAGCTCAGCTTTGGATTTGTCTAAAAACAAGGAAAGACTCTTTAGTGAAAGTGGATTAACGATGTCGACATCAGCCTGCTGCATGCATCAACAAAAACATGTATAGTTTTGTATATCTGTAGACCAATCAGAGGAGTTCAATCGTCTGTTAAAAGTTACAATTCTTAAGATTTTTGTAGTTTTTGTGCAAATTCTTTGTATTGCATCATCTTGTGACTGTTGAGAAATAAAACATTGAATACGTTTTTGTGTCTAGCTGCAGATAATCACTGTGTTGGTGTGAGGGGTGTGTGTGTGTGTGTGTGTGTGTGTGTGTGTGTGTGTGTGTGTGTGTGTGTGTGTGTGTGTGTGTGTGTGTGTGTGTGTGGTTCCGCCGGTCATTTGAATGGAGAGGAGGCGGAGGCGTGTGTCGTGCAGCAGCAGATTAATAATTCATACCGTGGTTGGAGTTGTTACTGGAGACAGCTTCCACATCGTCTTTGTTGGGACAGATCGTCTTGCAGCGTTCGTGGATTCTTTCTCTCTAAGAATACAACAAATATTTAGGAGTCTTGTGATGAAGCTGAACATCTAGAGGCATATTAAATCCCTGAGTAATGTGTGGTTGTACATTCTAGCACAGTTTATTGCTCTTATACCTTGATTATTGCCAACTACGATGCTCAACAGCTCGCTTAACGGAACTTTGACGCTGGTATCAGTTTACCACCAATCACGGGAGTATCGTGTAAAGAAAGTATTGAGTTATATTTCTCGCGCTACCTAACATCCATGAAGGCAACATGACAGAGGGAGGCCTGTCACTCAGGAAGCCAAACTACTCTTTGCTAAGCCCCGCCCCCTCAAGCAACATCAGGGCCAAAAGTATGAAAGTGAAAATCAATGTGAAAACTGAAAAAACAAGATTTGAAACTGAAAAAATTATTGTTTTGAATCTGAAAGCGAAAAATCTGCAACTGAAAAAAATAAGGATTCAAATATCAAAATATGTATAAAAGTGAAATCTGAAAATAAATATTTTATTCAAAAGAATTGCTGAACTGAATGAAAATAATATTCAACCTGAAAAATGATTTCAAATACTTATTTTTATTTTGAATACATCATTGTATTTTTCAAAGTTCACGATAAAAACTTGAACTTTCAAATAAATTGTATTTTTTTGAATGATCAAAACTTATGACCCTGAAATAGCTCCATACGGTTGGGCCTGAGGGTGGTGCTCTAAGGTCACACTTCCTGTTCCAAAGGAGAACACACTTTGAAGGAATAAGGAAGCATCAGAGGAACGCTTTCACAGCTGCTCTTCTGTCCTCTTGTTCTAGTCTGACAGACGTCATACTGAAACCTGAAGGAGGACATGAACACACTGAGATAAGTGAGTGGGGACGTCAGGGACATTTCTACAAACTAAAGAGCCCTTACAGAAACTCAAAGGCGTCACGTGGCAAAGTCTAAAGTCTGAGGATTGTAATAATCATTTTCTAACTTGTATTTCCTTACAGCCATGAGGAAGTGAATATAAACAGGTCAGTAATACAGAAAGTAAATAAGGAATCAAAAGCTGCTGCAGATTTCTGAAAGGGGACATTTGCATTTGATAGAGCAAGAAAAGAGACAGCTTAATATCACCCCGGGGGAAGAATGAGGAAAAGAACACCAGAAAGCACAGACACAGCTGCAGAAGATTATGATGATAATTAGTGACAAAATCCAAGATGACGAGGAAAAAACAACTTTTGATACTTTGTAAAGACACCACAACGTGTTACATAACGTGGTTTAATTCAGAGTGCTGTCAGGGCAAATAATAGAGTTTCATTTACTTTTCAGATGCTAAATGCTTCCGGCGCAAACTGAAAACTCATCTCTTTCGACTCCACTTCGAGCGTTAGAACTATTAACGAA